CCGTGGCGCCGAACAGGCTCGACGAGCCCAAGGAYGGGYGGAGTGACGACGTGGGGTGGACCCTCGGTAGTCTCGGGGCGAAGCAGTCGGAGGGACTGAGCAGTGGTGGGGATTGGACGCCGGCCGCGGCAGGGCCTTGTGGCTATGGTGGTYGGTGGGCTTGGGAGGTTTGAAGGCTGCGCCTGGGGGCGGCAGTTAATTGAAATTTTTGTGTACAAGAAGGACTCGCTTTTATCTCCATTGCTGCTTTGTCTATGCATGTCGTGTGTGTGAAGCCCCGAGTGATGAGAGCTGGTTGTGCGCATGAGTGATGTCGAAGGTCTATGGATGATTAGATGTCCTGTCAAGGGTTGTTGATTGCATGCATGTATGTGTGTATGTACTTGTCCGGGCGGGGACGGGGAAACTGAACTGGGGGACCGTCTGCTTAGGAGTACTAGTGCGTTGATCCTGTTGTTCCCCTCCCCTCCGCGGCCTTTCCTGCGCCCATGCGCAGTCTCGGCGTAACTCACTCTCTCTCTCGATCGCCTTCCTTTTTGAACTGATAGTCATCGCTTTTGAACTTCTCGTCCCTGTCCCGGTGACGTCAACCGCCTGTGTCCGCGCGGACGGTCGACGCCCCCGCAAGGGGAGAGAGCTTAGATTTCGTCATCTTCCCCCAACGCACCCACTTTTGAGAGAGAAGAGTTGCGTCGAGTGTTGTATGGAGCCGGTGTTGATTCGGATGACCGGAAGCGCGGGATCTTGCCCGTGTTCATAGCGTACCTCCTATCGTCTCATCCCGCTACCGACCTTCCCCATCACAGATGACGACAGGGTCTACTACGATGCAGACGTACGGCCCGCGCTGAGGCGGACGAAGCAAGTGTGTTGGCAAGACCCGCCTCGGGCTCGTGATATAAGGGGGAACGGGTTTGTCTTGATTGATCGTTTTGATTCCCCGACTCTAATATTGCCCTATACGGGATTAACTGTGTTGCCCTAGTCGGTCGCTCACGCCGCGTGGCGGCCGCGGTTTGAGTGTCACTGGTGTCGCCAGGGGGACTCGTGTTCTTGGCGACGCTTGGTCCTGGGTTACGAGGGAGCGACTCGTTTCCCCGAGCTCTCCCGTAATGCGGGGGTGCTGCCCGCGCAATTTCAAATTCGGATGCCGGCGAGTCCTCCCGCCGTTTCACCCTCTCGGAAACTTCCGCGCGGACTTTGCGAGTCTGACGCCTAGGCTTGAAGACCTCGAACCACCCACCTCTACAGCAAGAACCCGATGGTCCGGTCACTTCGTGAGGCCGATGACGCGGCCGAAAGGCTTCGAACCCACCACCTATCCCCCAAACCCATGACGGTCGGAGTTCTGTCTTCCGCCGCCATGACCCTCTCCCCTTGATGCCTTTTTCCGTCCTGATGCACGACCACAATTCGTTTTTGCGGAAACCCTTCTGATTTTATCGTTTCGGAGTGATCCGACCCCCCCCCAGGGGACTTCGCGATGACAGTTCGACTCCGGGGTAACCTCTGGCACGAAACGAGAGCCTCCCGTTCCATCCGGGAGACTAAACCCCTACGACCAAAAATCCTCGGCCACGCAACTCCTAGAACTCTGATCGGCGACCCCGTACGGGAAGCTGCGAGGGGGCGTGAGGTTGGTATCAGAGATGATTCGTTTCGGCTCCGAGGTTATCCTAGGACAATTACCCTGTTTAAGAGTTTTTCCTTTTTTATCTTTTTTTTTGAGTAGGCTGGCTCCCCGTCGACGGCGGCCTGTGAATAGCAATCAGAACCGAGCGAGAGGCTGGGCTCGAGGTCCGCCTCCAGCGATGGTTGAACCCGGAATTGGGGGTGGAAACGACGACGATAACCACGCGGGGATGACCAATCATCCCCTGTATTTTGTACCTCCTCCCTCCGAGGTTCCCATTTTTTTCGAAGATGATACCGACCCTCGCACCTGGCTAGCTGCCTTGAAAGCCCAGGGCTGGTCGGACCAGTTGCTCCGAGAACGAATTCCCGGAAGGTTAGCCGGAACCGCTTTTGAGTGGTATGGACAGAACCCTTTCACTAATTGGTTAGCCTTCCAAAGGAAATTTCTCGACAGATTTGATCACATCGCACCAGGTCAATGCCTTCGTCTAATAAAGGAATATACGCAGCAGCCTCGAGAGACCTTGGCTAGATATGTTGAACGCCTTACGTACCTAGCCGAACGCTCCGGGGTGGACAAGAAAATGGTACGGACTACTTTCGTCAGAGGATTGCCAGATTCTCGCCTGCGGAAAAAGATCCGCAAGAAATGCAACCCTATAGAACATACCCTGACGGAGCTAATTCAGTACGCAATTAAGTACGGGAAAGAAAATTACGATGTGGGCCTGGACTCAGAATCGGACGAAGACGACCCTTCGGGTGTTCGACGCAATAGCTACTCCGCTACGGCACGAATGTTCGAAGATCGCTTCGGGTTGGGTCCAACAAAAAAAGGCTCGGATCGGAAAGCTTCTTCCTCTGCTTCGACCTCCCGTCGCTCTAGTCAAGCACAGGGAGGCCGGGGCGAGGAAGAAGTGTCCATGAAAGAGGTCGCGGCCCAATTAGTTACGGTAGTGGCCTCGTTGACGGAGTTTGTTCAGGGCCTGCAGCGGCAACGCATAGCCGCCGCACAACGGCAACAAGCGGCTATGGCCGCCAGGGCCCCTATGATAAGACCGGCCGTGGCCGGGGCTGTCCCGCCCCTAAGCTGTTATAACTGTAATCAGCCAGGCCACCTTGCGAAAGATTGTCCGAAACCTCGAACTCAGGGTGGGTCGGCTGGGCCCACCGGACCTTCCCAAATCCCGCTGGTTGCTCCAACCGCTGCAGGACAGGGGAGGGTAGCCACGATAATGGACACAGGAATGACGGAGATGGTGACCCCTGCGGCCACTGAGATAGGACCCGATGAGTATATGGCGGCAGTGATGTTCGAACCCGGGACCATCGGAGTGATACGTCACATCCAACGGATTACCGAGGAAAGCGACCTCGGGCCGTGGCGACCAAGGTTCGAAGATCTTGCGGCACCTGGTCCTGAATACAAGGATGGTCATATCGACGTATTGGATGCCTTGAAGGCTCTGGATCTACGGATCCCCGTCCCTATTCCCTATCTGCTAACCATTTCCGAAGTGGCTAACGAAAAGTTGATCGAACGATGCCTCAAAAACAGGCGCCGATTCGAGGAAAGTCGAAAGGGCAAAAAACCGGTCCTACGAGACCCACCCACAAACGAGGAGTCACAGCCCTCGACCTCAAAGGTGCACGAAGCCAACTGGATAGGAATGATCCAGACCGTACATTCCACCTCGGAAAAACCCGAGGTATTCCTTCGGGCCTATCCTATAACCTGGAAAAGCCTTGAGTGTGACTGCGAGGTCTGGGGAAACCCCTCGGCCGCCATCCTAGACTCGGGATCGACAACAGTCGCCATTTCTTGGAGATTGACGAAACGATTGGGAAGGGAAGAACAGGTCCAGCCCCTCCGACCGGATGAACTGTATATATCCGCTACGGAAGACAACATTCATTGTAAAGGGCGGATAACGAACGTGCCTATACGGGTGGGGCGGGTGCATTGTTTATGCGACGCAATCGTGCTGGATGTACAGGCGTATGATGTTCTGCTAGGCATTCCATGGCAGGCGGCGGTTGGAGCGCGAATGCACTTTGACAGCTGTAAGATGGTGCTCACATTGGCCCACCCCAAACCACAAATGATACCAATGAGATTGGCGGTGCGTATGCGTACCCAACTGGCGTGTCGAATCACCACGAAAGCCCACCAAATCAACATGATCCGATGCCTGTCGCCAGGCGAAAATGAAACCTCGTCGGGAACTGACGAGACTGACGTTCCCTACCGATATCCGATCCGGGTTCAGGATCGGTGGCGCCATTCGTGGCGACGAGAACCCCTGAAAATACTTCGGAGCGAGTCCAATTGGTCGCACGCGTTCTCCTCTGTGGTGCAGGGGGAAGCCCTGCTGAGGGTGTCCCGAATAGCTGACCTTTCGGAACCCCCTGCGTCCTTATATCTCAGGACAGACCCCCTACCTGAAAGATTTACCGAGCTTAGGGGGCTGTACGATTTATCTTTTCGACCTCCAGGACCCCTACTCACGAATGAAAAAACCGCGATACTCTTAAAAGAGGGGGTGTCGTTTCAACCCCGAACCAGGGAATATCGGTGGGGACCGAGGGAATTGACGCAGGCCTTTTCGGTAGAACCCTCGGTCGAACCCGAACTGGACAGTGACAGTGACAGTGACATGGAAAGCGAGCCGATGAGTCCGGTGGACAGTCAACTTATAGCGACTATCCTTTCGGCAAAAACCGACAACTCTTTGTTTGGGGCCTCGCTCGATGCCAGCGCGGCGGTCCCCACGGTTACGACGACGGTCTCCCTTCCTGGGGAACCGTAGAAGTTCAGTTACCAGCCCGTGTTCCGGATGAATACAGACGCCTCCTCCTGGTGGTTATACGGACCTATCCTGAGGCCGTCAGTATTTAGGACCACGACATAGGGCTAACCCCTTTGATAAAGCACGCGATTGATACCGGGGATCACGCCCCGATATATTGCCGACCGTACCGATATTCCCTTAAAGAAAAACAGTTGGCGTTGGAAAGGGTACGGGAATTCGAGCGGTTGGGGTGGGTCGAACCATCGCTGGGACCGTGGTCTTTTCCCGTGGTCCTCGTGCCAAAACGAAATGGTTCGGTCTGGGTATGTATCGACTACCGAAAATTGAATGCTATCACTACCAAAGATGTGTATCCCTTGCCGCGAATCGACGATTTATTAGATGCTATCGGGTCTGCCCGAGTCTTTTCCAAGTTCGATATCCGACACGGTTTTCACCATGTCGCAGTCCGACCGGAAGACCGACCCAAAACCGCTTTTGTCCTATTTGAGGGCACGTGGCAATGGGTCCGGTGTCCCATGGGAATTTGTAACGCCCCTGCAATGTTTCAGCGGGCCATGAATATGGCCTTCGCTGAGTTCGTTAACAAAACCCGACTAACCCAGCCCCTGATCAATTTCTGCGTGATTGTGTACATGGATGATATTTTGGTCTTTTCAAAAACACACGAGTACCACGTGGAACACATGGAGTGGGTTTTGCATGCACTAAAAGATGTCGGGTTCAAAGTGGCCTTGGAGAAAAGCGAGTTCTTCTTGTCGGAGATCTTATTCTTGGGGTACATCGTCACGGTCGATGGACTAAAACCGGATCCGAGGAAGGTGGCAGCAGTTCAAGAAGCCCCGGTGCCGGCCACACTCACCCAGGTTCAAGCTTTTCTAGGGCTGGCATCCTATTACCGACACTTCATCAAGGGGTTCGCCGGTGTAGCGAAGCCCCTAACGAACCTGCTGAAGAAAGAGGAGCAGCAGATCGAGACGCCGGAATGCGAAGCGGCGTTTCAGGCGTTGAAGGAGGCTCTGACATCTGCTCCTGTGTTGGCGGGTCCCGACCCGACTAGACTGTTCGCACTGTACACCGACTGGCAGCCGCAGGCGATATCGGCGGTGCTAACTCAGCACGGGGCGGACGGAAGGGAACACGTCATTGAGTATGCGTCCAAGACGCTGAGCCAAGCGCAGGCTAATCACGAAGCGTGCAAAGGTGAATGCCTGGCGGTGGTGTGGGGGGTTCAGCATTTCCGACCGTATCTTTACGGCCAGAAATCCGTGCTGGTAACGGATCATCAGTCGCGGCTGTCCCTACGCAACAACATGGACTACACGGGGACGCTGGGAAGGTGGGCGGTGCGTCTGCAGGACTATGACTTCGACATCCGCCACCGTGCCACGCAGCAGCATGGCAACGCCGATTGATTGATACGCCTCCTGCTGCCCAACAAGTGTCCCGCCAACGAGCGACTCATTCCGTGGAGGCCAGAAGCCGCGGTGATGAAACCGCGCTACGGGGAGCTACACGTGCTGCGCAAGGACGACGCCTGAGTCCGAAATGGAGGTTTCGCCGGAGATGGCAGATGCTATCTCTTTGCCCTCATCCAACTCCCTCGCTCTCTTGTCTAGTCCCTACTCGTCCCCTGAAACACATCTAAGTCCCTGTTTCTTGTGTACCTTGCCTATGGTCCCGGACCAAGAAGGGTCACATCCGGGAGGGCCCAATTTTCTTTTGTGGGTGCAGTGTAGTCAGTGTCAAGCGGTCAAATCCCACAGACAATGCGTTAGGTACCGAAGTGAAAAGACGTGGGTCTGTCCCAACTGCAGAACGGACCAAGTCCCTACCGAGAAACGGTATCTGGACGCACGGACCGCCGACGGATTCGCGCCAAGTGCCCGTCGGGCAGAAGTTTGGACGGACCTTCTGTTGCTACGGAGGCTGTCGGGCGACTCGCTGTCAGAACTTACCAAAGCCGAGCGGCGGAGAGTCACGGAGCGGGCGCAGGACTATCGCTGGCAGGGACCGACGTTACAAAAACGAAAAGTCGATGATGGTGGAGGGACTAGCTGGTTGATGGTTCCGCACCCTTTCGCTAGGGTTCGATTGGATACGAGCCGCTCATGAAGAGGATGCGGTCCATTTTGCGGTCAAGTACACGGAAAAAGCCATCGAAAAGAATGGATGGTACTGGTCGGGAATTCGGGAAGATGTGAAATACATCGTCCAGAATTGCCCGGCCTGCGCGGCGGACAAGGCGCCGGTACAGATGCCTCGAACGATGGTGCCTACTCGTGTAGAGCGCCCCTTTCAGAGGGTTAGCATCGACACGACGGATATCAACGTTCCGAGAGGTCCGTTCGATCAGGGAGAGCTCAATGTTCTTTTAGTGGCCGTCGATCATTTTTCGAAATGGATCGAGGTGTACCCTATGACCAGCCGGAATTCGCAGGAGGTAGCCTGGTACGTAAACCGATTTTTGTGCATGCATCTAGACGTATATGAGGTACACATGGTCAATGGGTCGGAATTTCAAGGCGAAGTAGAACGTCACCTAGTCAGGGCGGACGTCAAGATTATCTACTCGCCGGGGCATTGGCCTCAAGCCAATGGCCTGGTAGAGAATGCCAACCGACTGATTAAGACCGCTCTTAGACGGAATATCACTGCGGGAGATACCCGGCCCTGGCCTGTCATTGTCGACCACATTTTGGCCGTCTATCGGGCTACCCCACACGGTAGTACTGGGGTGTCCCCCTTCCAACTGAGAACCAATAGTGTCCCTTGGGTGCAGTTGTCCCCCTTGGTAGGTACGAAAGTTAGAGCAACGCGGGCCCAGAACAGAGATAAGGCCCGCCACTACATGGACTTAATGGGTAGGGCCTATCCCCCGTTAGCTCGCCGGCGACAGCGGGCCGTAGATCGGACGCATCAACAACAAATCCGCGATTATGAGAACCGACATGCGTCCGCGGGACCACTTCCTCGCTATAAAATTGGGGACTTGGTGCAGGTACGGAAATCCGCGCGCTCCTCCAAGATCCACCCGTGCTACACAGGCATTTACGAGGTAACGGAAGTTGGCGCACAAGGACAGCACTCCGTGAAGCTGATTCCCTGTCACAACTCCCAAGCCCGACCGCTGACACGGCACGCTGCCGCGCTCCGGCCCTTCCAGCCATCGCTAGGCCCCATACGGACCCCCGCTCCTGCGAGATCATCCTCTCCTTCTTCGTCTTCCTCCTCTTCCCGATCTGCCTCGTCCATTGGTGCTGAGAGTTTCAGGGAGCAGGATCAACCATCGCCAGCCAGAGCATGAGCCCCTCGAGCATTTCCAGATGCCGCTTGCAGATCGCTTGTTGCAGCATCAGTTCAATGAGGAAAGGTAGTTGCGGTACAACATTCAGCAGGTGAACGTGCCAGCGCCCGGGGTCGCTGATCTGGCGGCGTACTCGTTACTTGGTGATGGGTTGACGTATGCGGGGGTGTACGTGGACGTGACGCAGTTGCCTGGGCGGGAGACGACTCGAGTGTTCATCGAGTTCCGCGTGCTCCAGGTGGCACCCAACTTCGTGCATAGCGTCGCCACCTTTATCGGCAACTTGACGATCCTGCCACCGCCGAGTCGGGAGCTGGCGCGAAGTTTTGTGCGCGAGTACGAGGTGCAGGCGGCCAGATCGGTGGCCAGAGTGCAAGGACGGGGGGGACACCGATTCACAGCCCACGAAACGCTGCTGCGCAGGGCAGAGGACGGACCGATTGCGTTGGTGCCGCAGCTCCCCGCGCTTCTTCCTCCCGCTGCCCCTCTCAACTTCCAAGCTCTTCCCCCTGCCCCGTACTAAATGCCTCCCTTCTTCTCTTACACCACTCTCCCCTATCAACTCACGGAGGGCCCTTATCCTATGGGAGAGTTCTCGGAGTATCTGGTGGAGCTAACTGACGTGGAACCGCTGCCCTTCGCAGACGAAGATGCGTGGGAGTTGCACCGTGCGCTGTACAAGTCGGTGGCGTTGGGGATGTTCCGATTCTTTGTATCACGAAGACCACTGCATCGGGGAGCACTTCGTCGTCTACTACGTCATCACACGGCCCAAGCCGACGCAGAAGGAGGGGACGGTGGCATTGTACCCATTCGCCCAGCTCCAGACGATCGATTCGGGATTGTTGGAGCTCATACATCTTGAGCTCCTCTCCATTGTGCAAGTGATCGCGAGTGAGGAAGAGGAGATCCAGCCACGATTGCGGACGACGACGGCCCCGCGGAGAACATACAACGCGGTCGTCATCCCGGATTACATTGCGCAGCGCGCGGAGAGGTTGGAGGACTTCCCGGAGGAAAAGTCGTTGCGGCCTCCCTCGTCGTATCCCCGACCGGTGCCACCCAAGGCCCCCAAGAAGACGCCGAAGAGGAAGAGACGCCACCCGTCGCCAAGAGTGCAAGGCAGCAAAATCGGTGGCGGCGATGAGGTGATTCAGCCCGCGCGTACGCGGAATCTTGACCCCGCGCTTGGGAGTGCGGTGGTGCTCGTTAAGGCGACTGTCGTGCCATCGCCGCCCTTCCCGCGCATGCCCGATCTCATTCTTGATGGAGTCGGGCCATCAGCAGCAGCAGCAGCCGGGGGAGGAAGCGGAATGAGAATACCGGATCCCATATCCAGACCCCCCGTCCTCGGGGGACCTCTCCGCTCCCGCCAGCCACCACGGGGTGCCCCGATCATTGACATTAGCAGTTCCTCCGAGCCAGACGGTCCATCCGACAGAGGTGGATTTCATGGTGGAGCCCACCACCATCAGGCTCGAGGCCATCGCGGGGGCGCCGCGCCCTGATCTGGCGTGGGAGCCATATCTGACACCCCCTTTTCAAGGGTGTATTGCGGCGCGACTGGCTGGGACACTCATCTACGAGACCGGGCAGCGTCCCAATGTGATGTACCACTTCCTTGTCTTCACGGCGCAGAAGCGGGAGCGGCGGCCTTACACCGAGACTCATGTGGTGATGACGGGTCCAGGGCCCCGATCGGTGCGCAAGCGGGTGGTGCGAGCGGTGGCGGATCTGGCGCCACGTGTCCTGTCTCATGTGCCGGGGGCCTTCCTCTATCCCTCGTTCGTCCAGCACCACTTCCAGGAGGAAGAT